AAGAATGCAAGTAAAGTCGGTAGATAAGAGTCACATCAAGAGAAAACCAGTGAACCTCACATTATGGTTTTCAAAAAATTTCCATCCCTTCCACTTGGTGACAGAGAAATACACTGGAGTCGCTTTTTACGCGGGTGATACGTCCCGCGTAAAAAAAAACCGCGGAAATTCCGGAATCCGCGTAAAAAAAAACCGCGTAAAAAAAACCGTGTAAAGAAAACCGCGTAAAAAGCGACTCCAGTGTACTACACAACTTCAATGACATCTAGCGAGAAAACAAATTAGCGGCTATAGTGAAGCATTATAACGTCTGTATTCACAATAATCCAGACGCATCAAAACTTAAGTAAACACAAATTTTGCAATATAATTCAATTCTTTCTTTTTTCTTTTATTTAACGTCGGTCTCTGTTCCGCAATCTAGTGCCAATCACCGACGGACATCGATTGCCATCCATTTGACGGCAATCGAATGTGCAGGAAGGCAGCTTCCACACCTGCTTAGGATATCGCACCTATTCAACACACATGGGCCGGGACCAACGGCTTTACTTCCCTTCCGAAGGAAGACGTGACCAGAGATTTTTATGCCTCAGAAAAATCCCACTGACATCGGCTGGGATTGAATCCAGACCCATTGAGGTGTTAGAAAGCAGTCACGCTTACCACTACACCACCGGCGCCGGCATATATAACTCAATTGTAGTTGATTATTTCAGATTCATGGGATATGATTTAAAAATTCACGAAATCAAAACATAGTTATTCGGTATTTGCATAAAATTTTCAAACTTTACGCTTAACCCCATCCATTCGAGTTTGTACAGACTACCGTGGTGGCCGGCTTTGCCCAAATTTGTTAGAAGTGTTTGATATCTTTGATTCCTTGTTTCTTTCCAGAAAACTTCCGCTTAATCAGAGCCCAATATCTCTCGATTGGACGCAACTCTGGACAATTTGGCGAATTTGCGGTTTTTGGTACAATATTCACTTGTACCACTCCATATCAGATTTAGCATAATGGCATGATTTTGCTGTCAAATTCTGTTTGTCGTTGCGATTTTGAACTGTTTTTACTTTATACGACTTCAGCCTCAAACGCTGTTTTGATTTTTGGACAAAACCAGGTGACATTCCTATTTTACGAGCCACCGTTCGAACAGAGAGATTTGGGTTTTCCTTCAATATCCTCTTCAGCACGTTCAATGTTTTTATCACTTCTCGGTAGCGATTTCGAGCCAATTTGCTGTCAAATCCGAGCCAGTTGCTGATTGGTCGATTTGACAGTAGCAAGCATTCGCGAAATAAAAAGGACAGAGGGATCACAGCAATCTGAATGGCAGTGATGCCGGAATCAATGTTGACGTCAATGGTGTTGTTAATTGTTTATATTTGCGAAAAGAATGTTGGAAAATAGGGTTCACGGCGTGCTTTAATCGATGGATACTCTTGTTCGTTTATGGTTATTTTTATGTTAAGCAAAAACGATGCATAAGGTGCTAAACTACGGTAGAAACTCCGAATCAAATTCAAATAAAAATATAAAAATTATTCTGCAAGCATGGCATCATTGGTCAACCCCGTCAAACACCATGCACTAATTTTCGACGTGCATTCATCAAAAACATTAAGAAGAGTGAGAAGCTGGATTGTCAAGTCCCGTTCCTGGTACTACACTATGTTTATTTTGATTCGCTATGAAAGTTTGACGGATAAAATGAAGGGTTCGTGGACTTTCCTATGTTTCGAGGGGTACATCGATTAGCTTGAGACCGAAGAGAGTACCAGAGCTGGGGCAAAAAGTTGAGCACGTTTCTTCGGGACCTTCTTGCACAGAGAACAGACGTTGAGGCTCGAACAATATTTCTGTAAAAACTTGTGTAAAGATTCCTATTCAACAACAGAGAACAGACATGGAGGCTTGAACAAAATTTCTCTAAAAACTTGTGTAAAGATTCCTATTCGACTTAAGCGCCACTAATGGCGACTTCCCCACTTAAAAACCCTCTTTGACAACATGATGGCACTGGCGTTGCACAAATTACACTAGACCACAGAGAACAGACGTTCAAGTTCGGTCAGAAACTTGTGTAAAATAAGTGGGACCGTCGCCGTTACGTGGTGTTAGCATCTTCTGATTTTCTCTATAAATTTTCCACTTTCGATCAATTTGGCGCTAGTATCGATACATTTTCTGTTGAAAATTTCCACTTGGCGCTACTAGCACTTAGTGTCTAGTGTAATTTGTGCAACGCCAGCGCCATCATGTTGTCAAAGAGGGTGCTCCCATGTTTGTTCTCTGTGACGTAACGGCGACGTTCCCACTTATTTTACACAAGTTTCTGACCGAACTTGAACGTCTGTTCTCTGTGATTCAACTTAAGCGCTACTAACGGCGACTTCCCCACTTAAAAACTCTCTTAAACAACCTGAAGGCGCTGCCATTGCACAAATTACACTAGACACTAAGTGCTGCTAGCGCCAAGTGGCAATTTTCAACAGAAAATTTATCGATCCTAGCGCCAAATTGGTCGAAAGTGGAAAATTTATAGAGGAAATCAGGAGATGCCAGCGCCACGTAACGGTGATGTTCTCACAAGTTTCTGACCGAATTTGGACGTCTGTTCTCTGTGGTTTAATGTCAAATTGATTAAATTTCAAGCAAAATGGGAATTGTTTAAACACTAGACACTAAGTGCTGGCAACGCCCAGTGGCAATTTTCAACAGATTTTTTTTTTTCGATACTGCCGTTAAACACAGAGAACAGACATTGAGGCTCGAACAAAATTTCTCTAAAAACTTGTGTAAAGATTCCTATTTGACTTAAGCGCCACTAACGGCGACTCCCCCACTTAAAAACCCTCTTTGACAACATGATGGCGCTGGCGTTGCAAAACTTACACTAGACACTAAGTGCTGGTAGCGCCAAGTGGCAATTTTCAACAGATAATTTATCAATACTAGTGCCCAATTGGTCGAAAGTGATAAATTTATAGAGGAAATCAGGAGAAGCTAGCGGTACGTAACGGCGACGTTTCCACTTAGCTTTACACAAGTTTCTGATCGATCTTGGACGTTTGTTCTCTGTGCGCTATATTCGTCGAAAGTGGAAAGTTTATAGAGGGAATCAGGAGATGCTAACGCCACGTAACCACAGAGAACAGACGTCCAAGATCGATCAGAAACTTGTGTAAAGTTAAGTCACAGAGAACAGACGTTGAAGCTCGGTCAGAAACTTGTGTAAAATAAGTGGGAACGTCGCCGTTACGTGGTGTTAGCATCTCCTGATTTTCTCTCTATAATTTTCCACTTTCGACCAATTTGGTGCTAGTATCGATAAATTTTCTGTTGAAAATTGCCACTTGACGCTACTAGCACTTAGTGTCTAGTGTAATTTGTGCAACGCCAGCGCCATCATGTTGTCAAAGAGGGTTTTTAAGTGGAGAAGTCGCCGTTAGCAGTTGTCTCACAGCTGTCTACAGCAGCAGTCGATTTTTTATTTCGGTGTGAACCACGCGATAGCCTGTTTTCGAGACTCGCTATTATATAGTTGCTCTTTGTTCGTTGCTAGCACTTCGGTGCCTTTTTTTGCTACGGTGCAAGATGTGTGAAGTAAAAAACACCATCAAGTTTAGCTTCAGCTACCATGATGCTAAACCAAACATCGGAGAGATTGTAAATTTCGCCAAAGCACTCGACGCGGATCGAAGTGAAATGGAAGCTGTTTATCGCATTGGTGAGGAAAGGGGAGTATTCATCAAGTTCAAATCAGAGGAAGCGATGCTCCATGCTCTGACGTTCAATTCAGAGGATTTAATCTTCCATTATGCAAATGGAACGACGGCAAAGGTACGCATGTCGCATGCTGGTGAATACATTCAATATGTGCGTGTGTATGACTTGCCACCAGAGGTACCCGACAACGAGCTGGATAAAGTGCTGGGGAAATATGGAAAAATTAAACGCATCATCCGGGAGAAATTTCCATCTGATCTGTGTTTTGAGGTATATACAGGGATACGCGGTATATATATGGATGTGAAGAAGGAAATCCCCACGTCATTACATTTCTTCAATCGCAAAGGAAATATATTTTATGATGACAACAAAGATAAATGTTTTCTGTGCAAGGCGGACGGACACCGGAAGCTTTCCGGTCCCATGCGGAAGGCTGGAAAGGAAGCGGAGAAGCAATCTAAGGAAAAAGGAAAGCAGCAAAGTGAAAGAAAACAAAACAGCAGCAGTACGTATGCTGATGTAGTGGTGGAAGGTGCGTCGCTAGTCATTAGCGACCAGGAAACGGACACGAGGTTGGAGATACTGAATGAAAATAACGAAATGGACGTGACGGCCCCGACGACCGACGAGAGTAGCGGAGAGCATGCAACGGGAAACGACGTTCAGAAGCAGCAGCAGCGATCACGATTCGGGTTCAATGAAAATGAGGAACAAATTCGGGAAAGAAAGAAGTTGCGTGCACGGGAGAAGATCGCTTTGTCGCCGCTTCGATCGCCACCCAGAAAAATCCTATGATAAAATGCATTTTTATATATATTTTTTTGTATTTTGAGTACCAAAATTGGTATTTTATGTACTCGGCTCCGCTAAGTTATTTTTATAACATTTGAGCCTTCCAAATAAACGAAATGAAAAAAAAAAAAGTCGCCGTTAGTGGTGCTTAAGTCGAGTAGGAATCTTTACACAAGTTTTCAATGAAATTTTGTTCGAGCCTCCATGTCTGTTCTCTGTGATCATAGTTTAGCAATCTCTATGCACCTTTTGAATTCCTCTGAACTGTTCACAGCGCTCCCATGGCCCCTGAACGAGAACGACGAGAACCAACAATTATAGCACACACAGTCGGTTTATAGCATCCTTATGTACAAACGTGACAGCTCATAAGCGACGATGTGTCTCATTATCAGTCAGCAGTTCGGGTCGCGGTCAGAGTACATAGAACAGCACATAACACGATCAGCAGTCACCGAATCAAAACATTGCGACAATAATTTTGGATACAAGCGATAGTAGTTTTCGGTACCGCGGATATCGCTGCCCGGCAGTGCGAAGATGGCCCTATTTAAATCGTTCGAAGTGGTCCTGTTCGGTGGCAGTTTCCACCTCCCGTTGCCGCTGATTGTCAACGTAATCATCTCCATCGGAGCGTACTATGTGGGGAACAAACTGATGCCGAAGATGAAGGCCATGTTCATCGCTGCTAACCTGTCCGGCATCGATATGAACAAGGTCTCCAAACCGAAAATGTAAGTGTCGCACTATTATTTTCAATGATAATTTGATAATGTCAGAAATTTGTATTATACAGTCCGGAGGCGTTCGGAGTGGTGACTGGTTGCATCTTTCTGATCTCGTTGTTCCTGTTCATTCCGGTGCCGTTCGTCGGTAGCTTTTCCAATGGAGACCAGGAAGAGTTTCCGCACGATAAGGTACATTTGCACATGATTCATCTACTGAAATCAAATTTTTAGTAAACCGAACGCTTCCATTTCCAGTTTGTAGAATTCATAGCAGCAATGCTTTCGATTTGCTGCATGATTCTCCTGGGCTTTGCCGACGATGTACTCAATCTGCGGTGGCGCGATAAGCTGTACCTGCCAACTATCGCTTCCCTACCGTTGTTGATGGTCTACTATACCAACTTCAATTCAACGACAGTCGTGTTGCCTAAATTTGTGTCGCAATTCCTGGGGACGTCCGTCGATATTGGTGTGCTGTATTACATCTATATGGGCATGTTGGCGGTGTTTTGTACCAATGCGATCAATATTCTAGCCGGTATCAATGGGCTGGAGGTGTGTCAGTCGTTGGTCATTGCGGGGTCGATCATCATGTTTAATGTGATTGAAATCATCTCCGGGCACTGCAAGGAAGCGTACGAGTTTTCGTTGTACATCATGTTGCCTTACGTGGGAGCTACGCTGGCGCTGTGGAAGTATAATCGGTGAGTAGCACTTTATGAATTTATTCTTTTTAGATTTCAAATGACGTCAGAAATAGCCTCTTAAGGTAGCAACAAAACGTTTCTAAAAATCTAAGGAAGTCGCAAAAGTTCTATGGACACTATACAAAAAATCATGTTCCGAAACGGGGGCGATGTATTATTAATGTCACGCTAAATATAGGAAACCCCCCGCCCCTCTTCTTTTTCGTCACGTTTTTCCTATACCTAATGCATTACTACCCCCCCCCCCCCCCTTCATTAGAGCGTGACATAATATATGCATCACGTCTTAGCCTAATTGTCATGATCCAGGCTAATATGTCAATACTCCAATATAAAAAAAAACATACCTAATCCAATAATCATGAAAACAATGTCAAGATTCAACACACAACACTTTTGTGGATTCCAGGATACCTTTACTCACTTAAGTATCGTGGCCCTGGGCACCTTCAGTGAAGGCAAAGGGCCAACGGTGAAAAACTTCCATCCTACTTTACGGTTTACTTTTGCTTTAAACTGAACCCAGGTCAAATTCCCTTAGACTTACTTGATTTCTTCGACAATTCCAAGTTGCAAAATTACAAGAAATTTTGTATTAAGAATAAATCAAAATACTTTGACAACTGAGCATTTCCTGGTCAATTAGCAAAACAAAATTGAACTTCAGACTCGACCTTTTCCGATGTGCATGAAATTTTGCAAAATTATATGCTACCGTAGAACCTCGGTAGTTTGAATATTTAAAATCGCAATTAAACGGCGCTCATATAGAATTTGTTGAACTGGTACCCCTACACTGGTGCGTATCGCCGTTGGACACCTCTATAGGGGTTGTTCAACAAATTCAAAATGAGCTCTGCTTAATTACGATTTTAGCTAATAAAACTAACGGAGTTCTATGGTATGGCAATCATTCACCTTTGAGCTAAAATTCAGCCATTTTGAATTTCATTTCCTTTATTTAACGTCGGTCTCTGTTCCGCAATCTAGTTCCAATCAAGAACTCTGAGATACTTAAACTCTGTAACAAACACTATGTAATTTATTTATTTTCTCTATCCGGGACCCCCTCAGGAGCCCCAATCCTTCAAAGAGACGAACCAGCTACAGACTAAAAGTCTCTATAATAAAGCAAAAAAAAAAAATAGTTCCAATCACCGACAGACATCGATTACCATCCATTGACGGCAATCGAATGTGTAGGAAGGCAGTTTCCACACCTGCATAGGATATCGCACCCATTCAACACGCATGACACATGAGGCGGGACCAACGGTTTTACTTCCCTTCCGAAGGAAGACGTGACCAGAGATTTTTATGCCTCAGAAAAATCCCACCGACCTCGGCTGGGATTGAACCCAGACCCATTGGGGTGAGAAAGCAGTTACGCTTACCACTACTACACCACCAGCGCCGGCAGCCACTTTGAATGCCGTGAAAAAAAAACTTAAAATTGGCGTATAGAGATCTCCAAGCGCAATCTCACGAACACTATAATCCAACATCCATACGTAAAAACGAAGAAGAAGAAGAAACAAAAAGGTATCGTGATATCACAACTACTTAAAAAGGTAGCGCGCGGTCTCACGCACACTTTTGTGCATCTGGAGAACTCTATTCAATATTTTTCAACAAATCACAACTCGAAAACATCACTTACAATCAAAATGACGTCTGAGACAAAGTTTTAAGAAAAAATCATTCCGTTTCAGAAACATATACACTGTCAAAAAATTCTAGTAATTTTGAGTTACATATCCAAAAAAGTTTTTAAAACTTTAAAAACAAAACAAACCCTCTTCAATATTTTTTGAATATTTTTCATTAAAAAGCTTATGAAAAATGCTATCTTTTATGGAAATTGCATGCTTGATGGACCCTTAAAAATCATCAAAAATCATAAAACAATAACTGTTGGTAAATTTTTAAACTTTTCATTAATATTTTTTTTGTGAAATTTTTGCTCATAAAATTGAAATTTGAAGCAAAATTTCACGACATGTTTAAGCAACAAGTTGCTGTTCTATGATTTTTGTTAATTTTTAAGTGTACATCTTGAAATTTTCTCAGAATATAGAATTTTTCGTAAGCTTTTTAATGAAAACATATTAAAAATATATTAAATAGGGTGATTTATTTGTTTTTATCTCAAAATGATTGGGTGCGCAACTAAGTTCTCACTGTTTGTCAATAGATGGCTCCAGCAGTAGTGCTGGTCATGTGACATATCGAAAACGTCATGACACAACAGTGATTTTGTTTTTTGCGTCATATACTCTTGGTTGTGTGAAAATGTCTGATTTTGTGCCAAATAATCGTCATTTGCGCAAAGTGTTGATTTTCTTATTTAATTCGAAGAAAACAGTAGCTGAAGCGCATCAAGACCTCCGAAAGTTTTACGGAGATGCTGCTCTAAGTGAAACACCGTGCCGTGGTTGGTTCCATCGCCTCGAATGTGAGCGGTGTTGAGAAGATGTAAACAAAGGCAAGAAAATTGATATTTTTCATTCAAAATAACTTGAAAATTGAAAGTGATCGACTCCGCACCAGTCAGATGTAGGAGTATGTGTTAGCACTATTAGGTACATTAACCCTATATTGATTACTTTTGATTCCAATTATGATAATCCTAACTATACATTTTGAATTTTATCTGTGTATAGATTTTTATAAATGTTTAGTTTCCTAGTTTTATTTTTTTGGTCTAGAATGAAACAATTTAATAATTCTGCTTAGCATATACTTTAATGTACATGTCTTTAAATTAAAATAAAAGTTCAACTTCTAATAGTTATGATTATAAAGCTGTTCTTTTAAAACAGACTAAGTCTATTTATTAGCTTAGATTCATTTCCCCAAAATAACGTAGGTTTTAAACAAAAGTTTCTTTAAGAACCAGAAAATTTCTCGTTGAGGTTCTCGAAAAACTTGGGAACATTATTTAGCAAAATGAGCAGACACCCTGAATGTGAATTATTACTTGTCAGTCCTCGTAGACTGACCGCTTTCGATTCCAAAGACGTTTTTTCGGATTGTTAAACAACCAGGTAACAAATACCACGCTTTCCTGAAAGAATCAACATGACAGAAAATAAATTTTATTCACGAATTACAAACTAAAAGGAAGCAAAGTAAATCACAAAACGCGTACACATTCCGTTTTTTTCAGGTTTAAGTAAAATAATCATCGTATCTCAACTTAGTTAACTCGTCCTATCGATATTTACTCTCGAATTCTGTTAGTAACTTTACAATTTGTCAGGTATACATAATTAGGTGTTGTTTCTTATTACAATTTCGAATAGGCTACTTTTCCTTAATCGTATATATTTCTTTTTATTTTGAATTTGCTTTAGTCCGGTGCTATCACCTTAAATGCTATCATATTCTTGTGTATTTTTTCGTCTAATTGAAAATATGTTTTTTTTTTTTCATTTCGTTTCTGTGTGCCAATCACCTAAAAATAATGTTTGTCGTCAATTTTCGAAGATGGAACTAATAGCGGCGAATAATTTAGTGAAATTCGTTTCTGTTCAGGCAAAATTTTGTTTTTGTTCGCTATCTAATTTCCGTTTGAGTATATTTCATGTTGATTCCCTTTTCCAACGCAACCGACGACTGATCCTACCTCGCACATTCATTCCAAGCTCGCTTCTTTGTGAGTCAACTGAGATTTTGTGGTTTGTGTGGTGAGATAGTATGAGATGATAGTTGAGTAATTTTGACCTGTTTGTTTAAGACTTCTAAATTGGCTACGACCGAACTTTGGCTGATTATGATAGGAAGTTTATCGATTGCTGACTTGATTATGTTGCTGTATGATGATGATGGTTGATTTATTGGATTGCGCGCTGGGCTTCGTCTAGCTAAAGTACTCGTCGTCGATGACGCTATCCTCCCAGCGGGCAAACAGGTTGATGACGATGTTGTCGAACCGCCAGCTATTTTTGCGGACATATTCAGGCGCGTAGTATTTGTCCACGTGGCGCTGCAGTTTGTTGAGATTCGTTTTGTCATCGAAGTACTTCCCGCTGGCAATCAGATTTTGAATGTATTCCACATTCATCACGGTTCCCTTCTTCGGGTCGGGAAGATACGACGACAACGATTGGTTAGTGCTACTAATGCTAGTGGTTGTATTGACTAAGGTTATAAATTCTAAATATTTTACTATATCTATCAGTTGGTAGCAGTGTCGGCAGTACCAACCGCCATAATGATTCAGATCACCAATAAGCATCACCGGCTTGTCGATCCGAAGTAGTGCTTCCGGGTCGGATCGATAAGCTTCATCCACAGTACTTAATTGACAGGCGGCACTTCCGATCAGGGTGCTCTCCGGATGCTGCCAGAAGAAGCCGAACACGTTGTACTTCAGCCGGAATCGAACCGGTTGAGGCCAGTTGTCGTACCAGCGGAAGTAGTTCACCGCCCGTCGATTCAGTATCTCGTCCGTTCGGCTGTATAGCAGAACATCTTCCACGTGCATATCACTTTTGCGGACGAACTTCTTCAATTTCCGGAAGATGTTCCGTCCGCTACAGGTAGGATCCTCCAACAGGAGAATCTTGTTCAAATTGGCTTTCAAAAAATCAGTACTCATCACATGCGGTCCTATCGTATAGGTCTCACTCTTCATTCCATCGGCCACGGGCAGCTGCCGATCGCACAGTATAAACAAGCTCACAACGTCCAGCAGTTCCATGAGCTGGATTTCCAGCATCTGCACGCTGATAAAGTTGGCGTCGATAATGTAGAACACATTCTTCGGCACCTTCCGGGGTGCGGCAGTTTGATTCCTAGGTGGGATACGCGAGGCAACAAACGCTCTCCAGAGCACCTCCGGTTGGCCGCAGTCCGGTCCGTGCCATTCCGGCTGACACCGACAACGGCCATCCGGTAGGATATCATTGCTTAGGTCGTTTTCTTCCTCTTCTTCTGCTGCTGTTGCTTCTTCTTTTTCTTCTTCTTCTTCGTCTGGTTGCTTTTGTGTTTTCCCTACTGTTGCTACTACTACTACATCTAACTCTCCTGCTTCAAAGTCAGTCTCATTGGTGATGTGGTGCCCAGCAGGCCGGTGTGGTCCTGTGGGAGGTGTTTTCTTATTTGGTTTATTCGCCGCCGCGACCCGGAAGTGGGTTCCCTCGATGAAACACAACCGGGTCTGCTCTCGGTATCCGTCGTGGTAGTAGATGGGCCTGGGAAGAGAAGGAGGAGTTTGCGTTATGACTTTTAAGCTGGGTTTAGACTAGGCAAGTCAAATGATCAACTCAGATGAATTCAATTGGCTTGAAAAGTTGAGCCTTGTTCAACTTTTTTCAATTCAAGTGAGTTGATCAAGAACCACCGAAGCAGGAACTGCTTCAAAACAAGCGCAGATGAGTGCCATGAATGTCGAAAATGACCAGATCGGTGATGGATCACCACCGAAGGTGACATTCACCAGTTGCGTTTTGCATCTTTCTTCAACTCGATGAATGCTCATGAGGGCCAGCTTCGAAGCAAATTTTGGGCTCGGATTTAATGAGGATAGAAATCGATGTGCAACATTTTGTTTGAATTCTTATTAGTTCAGAATACTTTCATTACGTTTGTGAATTTTCTGTATAAGTTATAGTCCGAGATCCTGACCCCGTAGGAAGTCGCTGTCTTTGAAAAAGCTGTTCAGGTGAACACCCTAATAAACAAGTACCATAAACAAACTGTATCCCATATGGGTAAACTATCCCACAAATGGTTTGAATGATACCCCCGAACACGTCGTTAAGCTCCAGGGCTGGTGTGAGTCACTTTTTAGTGACTTGGTCACTTTTTTCAAGCCAGTCACTAAAAGTCTCTTTTTACCCTTCTTACAAAGAAGGGTATAGATATCACTTGAAAAACCGACTATCGATCCGAGGCCCGGAGGGCCGAGTGTCATATACCATTCGACTCAGCACGACAAGATCGGAACATGTCTGTGTGTGTGTGTGTGTATGTGTGTACGTGTGTGTGTATGTAACGAAATGAATGCGCTCACGTTTCTCAGCAACCGCTCAACCGATTTGGACAAACTCGGCGCCAAATGATAGGTCTTGGGGTCCCATTGAACGCTATTGAACGGTTTTGGAATCGGTGAACCGGTTCCCGAGATATGGCCGAAATAAGATCCGGTGAATATGGGCCTTCACGCTGGATTTAACGGAAAACGTATCAAAACCATCATGCGACACATCAAATTACTACATAATTCAAAAATAAGATCAATGCAAGTCGTGTTAAGTGTTCCAGACCACATTGGACACACTTGGACATGTTCCGGGTACCCCGGGGAAGTTGCTTGAATATGAATTGAATTAAAACCCATTAAATCACATTAAAATACGATGATAAGGTGATTGGTAGCCTCACCAAATAGACTACACCCGGATATATTCCGGGTACCCTCAGGCAGTGGCGTAGCGTCACTGGATGACACGGGGGTGGGGGGCTTGGTCACTGATAATGACAATAAAATAAATAAACTTGAATAAGTAAGAAGGGTCTGATCACACCATAGGTGAATAAATTCGGGTTTTTAAGGGTAAAGTCACTAAAGTCACTTTTTCTTGTAATCAGTCTTTTTTAGCGTGAATTTATTTCAAGATTGATCATTCTTTGCTTTGCGACGTTTAATCGTCTTTCTCTATCTACAGAGTGTCTACTCATTTTTGTAAATAAAATTTCTTGAGTTTTCTAGGTTTTTCCCAGAACTTCGGATAAATTCCAGGCTTATAATAAGAAAGCTATTTTTAAAATGCGTTCAAATATGCTTTTTCTGAAAGATTAACAACAGTAATTAACCCAATCGTTTTTAAGCCATGGCAATCAGTTTTAAAGAAACAACTTTATAATCAAATCCATTGAATGTTGAAGTTTAGCACTTATTTAATTTCTCACTTAAAGTTTAAAAAAACGTTATTAATTTGAGTAAGTCCAAGATCTAAAAATATTCAATGTCTTGTAGGTACGTATTCCATGTACAAGTCTAAGATATGGACAATTTTCAAAGTTCCTGAATTAAGGAAAACATTAAATGATTTATTTCAAGTTCATAATAAACTGAATGAAAGATTAGAGATCTTCATTGCAGTCCCATTAACTTCACAACAATTGTAAGAACTTTAAAGAAGTTCTGAGGAATTAAAGGAAATGATGAGCATTTCAGTGAAGCTCCATAAACAATCTACGGTAACATAAGGGAAGTTAACACACTGAAATTATGGGGAACTTACTGGAAGCTTTAAGATCCTCAAATCGGTTCTTTTAACATACGAAAATTTTCAGGAACTTTTATGAAGTTCCTAGAATTTCAGAGCCCATCACAGATGTTAAGCGAATTTGAGAAATATAGAAACCTTGAGGGGTATTGTGCAATTTTTAAGAAGTTCTAAGCACCTCAGAAAAGCTACATCTAGAGATCTTTGGGGAATTTCAAATCTTAAGAGCAGTTCCCATGACTTTAGTTCAGACTTTTTGGAGCAGTTTAAATATCTATAACCGTAAATTTAGAAAAATTGAGAACCCTTAATATGTTCCGAGAATTTTAGGGAAGTACAGAGACCATCAAAGATTTGAGAGTTTTAGGGAAGCTTTGAGAACATCAAGACAGATAAGAGAATCAAAGGGAAGTTCAAATAATTTCAAGAAAATTGTAGAAACCTTAAAAAAAAGTTCCGGAAACTTCGGCAAAGGACCGATAGAACTTCTGGAACGTTATAAAAATTATATGAACAATCGGAAAACGGGAGTGTTTTTTAAGGGTGTTATATCATGGAAATTTCAAGAACTTTAAAAAATGTGAAAATTTAGCTAAGTTGATTAGAGAATGTCAACGAACTTCCATTAATAAAAAATGAGAGAAATTTTAGCAAGCAGCGATAAATATCTTCAAGAAATTCCAGAGAACTTAGAATTGTTTAATGATATTTAGCAAAGTTCCGAGTACTTCCAGGACGATTAGATAGCTTCAGAATAATCCCATTAACTTAAGCAAATTTGCAGAGACTTACAAGGAATTCCGTGGAATTATGTATATATATATATATATATATCAGAAAACTTGCTAGATTATTGAACAAATTTAGAGAACTTCAGGTAAGCATAGGTAAGTTTAGGGAAAATAAGTGAGCGTTTTTGATGGTTAGAATACCTAAGGAAAATTGTCGAACTTCAAGGCAAATCAATTAATGTCAGTAAAGTTGCGGGTTCTTAAAATATACTGATCAATTTAGGGCTGTCTAGAGAACTTTAAATAAATTCAATAATCGTTTAGGTAGTTTTAATAACACCAGGGAAATCTAGACTATTGAAGAAGTTTTAAATTAGTGTCTATGATTTCATAGAAGTTTAATGAATATCAGAAAATTCAAAAAACTATATTAATTATTTCGTTCTAATTCCATGAAAATTGTGGGAGCACAAAAGTGCCAGAAATTTAGAAAAACTTCGAAAACTTCATAGAAGAGCAGTGGTTTTCAGAAACATTTCGTGAGAACTGTAAAACCGTTAGAACAGTTTTGAGGATTTAAGAAAAGAATAGAGAACCTCAGAGCAGTTCCGTTAACATTAGAGAAGTCATATAAAGTTTAAAGAAGTTTAGAGAACTTTAGCGAATTGTTAAACCTTTAGAAGAGCTTCATGATCGTTAGAGGAAACTTTAGGAAGTCCTATAAAATTAAGGGAAGTTTAAGAGTTTGTTGAGTAGTATTGTGAGCATCAGGCTAGTTTCTCAAACTACAAAAGAACTTCAAGGCAAATTCATTAACTTCAGGAAAAATTTGGGAAGTTCTCAGAATAGTCCATTCCATATTCAATGGAAATTTCGATGAAGATATCATTTGAACTCTATTTTCTTTTAGTTTTCCTCGTAATTACCTTCAAATTCTCCACAATAAGACACCCTTTGGAAAGATTGTCAGAATATTCATTGAATTCATTTCAGGTTTCCTTTTGAATCTCACTCCTTCCCTTGGAATTCTACTCACATTGAAGGTCTCCTAAGAAATCATTGGCATTTCTACTCACAAATTCCTTAGATTTCTTCTCATAATTTTTTTTTTGGCAAACTCTCCTGAATTTATTTTCCGAATTCCTTTGAATATGTCCTGGAGTTATTCTCAGATTTAATTGTAATCCTTTTAGTATTTAAAAAAAAATCCAATGACTTATGCTCCGAATTTGTTTTCTCCCACAAACTTTATGAAATTATCCTCAGAGTGCCCTTCGAATTTGGGGCCTCCCCTAGCTCAGTCGGTAAAGGCGCAGCTACAAAGCAAGACCATGCTGGAGGTGGCTGGGTTCAATTCCCGGTCCGGTCTAGTAATTTTTCGGGTTGGAAAATTTCTCGACTTCCCTGGGCATAGAAGTATGATTGTACTTTTGCCACACAATTATACCAATGCAAAAATTGTACAGGCAACGAAAGCTCTCAATTAATAACTGTGGAAGTGCATCTAGTAGAACACTAAGTTGAGAGCACGCAATAAGCTAATATGCGATATACAATAAGCTTGAAATGCGAAGAAGAAGAAGAAGCCCTTCGAATTTTCCTTTGAAGTTCACAGGAGTTGTGCTCCTCAGAAATTCCTAAGAGTTTTCAATAAAATGTATTTTTAATTCAATTCAGGGTCACTATTTAGTCACTTATTTCTTCAACATGGATTAAAATCACTATTTTTGACAGCAGTGATGGCTACCAGTCCTGTTAAGCTCTCTTTTATGGTTATTTTTACTAGGGCAAGTCCTCACGAAGGCGGACAAATTAGTTCAGAACACACGCACTACGTGACGTGGCATACTCACCACAGTCAAAAGATCTCAATTCAAGCTGAACAATGCATTAGGTCCTAAGTAACATTTATCGATTGTCTTCGTCGATTTTCCATCCGTTTCATGCCGTGTTTGTCGTATTAGAAGCTAGATAATAGTTTCTTGTATCGATCTGTGTGCTGAAAATAGCAGGAAATGTCTTAATATTGTCGTGAGGATACAAAGAGAAAGTCGACGAAACGAATCTGTCATTGCTACTTAGGACCTAATGCATTGTTCAGCTTAAATTCTCATCCCCGGACAAGTCCATCAATGACCCAAGAGTGTTGAAGTGAATCCTGAAGACCCCCGCTAATCTGAACGGCACTTTATACATATTAACGGGGTTCATTTTTAATTTGCACTTCTAGTAACCGTTTGAGCATCCAAAACGCATGTTTGTTAGCCTTGTTTGCTATTTTGCGGACTGCTTCATGTGGCTTGAAAGTTCTGTCGGAACTTTATTTGAACTTTACGGAACTTGGAAGTGATTTTAATCGTTGAATGCGGAAGTTTCAGAAAGTCGATTTTGGACAAATTTGTTCGAAGTAACACTAGATCTCGATTACAGGGCTGGTAGCAGTTCACTTTTTAGTGACTTGTTCACTATTTTAAAGCCTTAGTGACTGTCAATTTTTACACCAAAAAGTCACTATTTCACTATAAATAGTCACTAAAGTCACTTTTTCAATACTAAAATAGAGTGAAATAAAAATAATATCAACAAAATGTTTAAATTGGGTACTTGGCACTAAGAAAGTTTACAGTTGTTTTAACAAATTAGATTTAACAAAGTTAAAAAATTGAATTTTTTTACCAGGGTGAACAGAGTGAACCGCAAAACTTTATAACACCAGGAAAACTGTTGGGAAATGTCTTCAATTTCAATTAAAAATCGGGGAAATGTACCTCCTTTCCCAGAAAATAAATTGTTAACCTTGGAAATGTTTCAACGGTATTTGTCTATGATAGATTTTTAAAAGTCTTTCAAGGATGATTAAGAACTTTAAAAAATCCAAAGTAAATTTAGGAGAATTTTTGCTGACACCAAGATATATCAGAGAAGAATACCAAAGTACAGACTACGAAAGTCTCATGTAAAATTAAGTGCTCTGAGGGCCGATTTCTTCATCTTCGCTTAAATCTTAAGCCAGGTTTATGTACATAGTTAAACCTGGTTTAACACATCCGAGCGTCGCTTTTGAGTATTGTTTAAATTATTGGAGACGCAAAATTCAGCTCCGAAACAATTTTGGAAATAATTTCAATATAATTGAGAGCGAATTTTAACGAGAGTTTTGAGAAGAATAATTGGATGAGGATTCTAGGTCCAATTCTAACAAGTATTCAAAATTCGTTCTGAAATTTCGCTTAAGGGAGCTCTGAAAAAAATCAATGAAAATCCCGTGAACTCCGAAGATGGTCTCTGCGGATAGTTCTTAAAGAAATCTGGGGTGATTTCTGAAGATACTTCCAAGAGAATTCTTGAGAGTTCGAAATAAATTCTGAGAAGAATTCCAATGGAATTCAAATGGAATTGTTTTGAGAATTCTGAGGAAATACTTTGGGAATTCTAAGGAGAATACGAATTGCATTTCCAATTGAATGCAGGGGAGAAGTCCAAGATCAATCTAAGCAGAAATTTATGAAAATTCTGAGGTCAATTGCATGGAAATTCTAAAGAGATTTCAAATAAAATTCAAATGTATTTATGGAAGGAGCCTTCAGGGACTTCCTAGAAGAATCAATAAAAAACGAAAATGATCTACTTTAACTAATCATGTGTTATTACTTCATGCGTGAATTTAACGATTCACATAGTCGGAGATGCTTAACGTCAAATATCAAACTTAAAGTGATAGACGATAGATGAGGAGATTAAATTATAGAGTTGATAGTTCTGTTATAGTACGGCAGTGTGAAAATTAGGCCTTTTTAATGCACCACCAACGTAGAGTGCGCCACGCGAGTTCGAGAAGGAACGTCAACCAAACCGTTTGTTTACATCAGAATAACTATTTTTCACAACGCAAATTAAAGCTTTTTAATTCAATATCTTGCCAATTTCCATTGGTCATTGTCTTATTGTACTATTTTCCACAGATCTGAACTGATTTGTACCTTAACTATTCACACACAAGAAATCCGGAAGATCATAACCACTAAGGCACTTTTCTAATTTTCCATTTTTCTCAACAAAAATATTCCTGAACACCAGCAGGATCTTTGCAAAAACGTTACAGAATTAAATTTTTCAACTGTAGATCAAGTTTTGAAACATCTCTGATAAATCAATTTATCAGGAAAAGTAAAAAAGTGTTCCGTTTCCTGTCTCACGGTAGAAATTTCTACTCACAACACTCTTTTTGATGTTTACCTATTGATCACCAGAGGTTGAATCGATCGTTTAGTTTAGGCGTATACAAAGTAGAATGTGCGCAAAGGACAATTTTGAGGAAGGTACGAATCGGGTAGTTGTTTACGTCAGATGGTGAAACGATCGATAGAACTGTTCCGCACATCGGAGGTACTTGAGCAAATCGGCGATCATCCCTTTTGCCAGTGGTGGAAGGGGGAAACACCCCTCACCATCCCTCATTAGCGGATGACCTTGGTTAAGGAGATGCTCTACCCGATTCGTACCTTCCTCAAAATTGTCCTTTGTTCACTTTCTACTTTCTATATACAAATTTCACACTGCCGTACTATAACGGAACTATCAACGCTTTGCTTTCATCTCCTCATATATCGTATAAAATGTCCACTTTAATTCTGAGATTTGATGTTAAGCATTTCCAACTACGAAAATAATCTATTTCCAAGAATTTTGTTGATTGTTCTGCAAAGAATTTCAAGAATTCAATATTATTTTTGTAAAAGCTTATTTGCCTCTAAGCTTAAGAGAAGGGGAATTATTCTAAAAATGTTCTTGAGATCATTCTGAAGAAATTCTGTGAAAAGTTCGTAGCGAATTATCAAATTAATCTACCTAGATATATCAAAATTTTAAAGATTTCAGACGCAGAATCAAATTTAAGATCATAAAAAATGGGAATTACTATTTGCTAGTCATCATGTATAACGTAAGCAAAAGTAAATTACTCAAATCACTTCAAATGCTCTTCACAGGAGAATCCGTTGTGAGATTCGATTAGATTAGAGGAATTTATGAAATTTGATTTTAAGTTCCATGACATAAGAAGTTTATTTCAATATCAAACCGTATTTGAATTTCTAAGTTACCATATAAATGGTTAGTTATTTAGTATTTACAAGTCACTATTTGGTCACTATTTCCGTAATTTTAGTCTCTAAAGTCACTACTATTATATCGCACCAGCACCACCAGCCCTGCGACTAAAGAGACTAGAATATACAAAGAGACGCCATGCTCCGATTGGAATTCCAATGTATCCGTCGGTGTCATTCTAATCGAGCACGAGACCTGTCAAACCAAAAATTGTGTTACCGTTATTGGGGGTGATTGGAGAAGTATTGCTATCTGCTTCATCAAGCTGTTCAGGTATTCACAAGTGTAATTTGGAAACCCAAGCGCAAAAAAAATCTTTTGATTTAAATTGATTTCTAACTCTAAATCGATTCACCGCAAAAACAATTGAATAATTTTCCTCGAATAACAACAAACTTTACCAAAATAAAAGTCAGGCGAAGTTTTAAGCAATGACAGTGTTGCGCGTATCGACTACCATGGCTGCCTGATTACTTGTTTTCACAGGGATGAGATGGCGCCTCTTTGTATATTCTAGTCTCTTTAACCCTTAAATGCATGATTTTTTATTTTGTGGTGATTTTTTTTTTCTTGTGGTGTATATTGCTCTTACTATTAAAATGTTGTTTCACCATGTTTAAAGACCAACATAGGTATGTTGCCAAATGGCAACACTATGCATTTAAGGGTTAATCTCGACGTTTAATATAAAAAAAAAAATCGATTTTCAGAATTTTAATTAAGATATTTTTCATGTGAAACAAGTTCAATCTTTGACTGCATTGCGGCACCCCATAAATCATGTTCGATTGAGCCCATATTTTGCATAGACTATGAACATTTTGCAATCCGGAAGTCATTTATTCCACAATGGCGATAGTTATCTATTTCTTTATCAACATTTCAAAAGAGCCAAATTGTTTTAGAAAACAATGGCTTTGGTCGTCGCACATACTGGGGCAAAATGGTACTTTGGTTGGACAACAATCGTAGCGCTCCACCCATTTATCCTAGAGGTTTGGTGTCTTCGGCAAAGTTGTTCAGGTGGATAAGGACTATGTTTTGACATAATTAGTTAAGTTTCAGATCACGCCGTTCAGATGGTGATTTTATTGCGCATTTTGTCAAAATACTTTAGTGGTCCATCACAGAATTTTAAATTGGCTTAGATATCTTGTAGAGATTATTGCATATCTTACTTTGATGTTTTTCTTCCATCAGAAGTGCTTTCACCGTAGCAAGGCATGTAATTTACTCGGAAAAATTCTCACTAGCTGACCCGATTATTCAATCCCTTTTTTCGCTGTCAAACCATTCAACGCCAACCACAATTCAGCAGCATAGACCCTATTTATCACTGGTTGACCTTGAGCCATTTTTTCGGGCAATAATTAAATATCCTTCCCTTTTCATGCTTCGAGATGTCCTCATGTCGTTTCCGGGAAAACTCACCGAAAAGATCTAATTTGGAGTTGTCAAACAGCTCTACCTTGCTACGGCTCGCAACAAATTTCTCGACAGCATTACACTGCTATGGTGTGTTAGAACAAAAGCCATTGAATATAATGCAGCACAATTTTCTTGAAATTGCAAAATTATCACTTCAACCTTCATCAATAGGCCACTCCAGCTGCCATCTCAACCGATCCATTATCATCGTCGCCGATTCAGATCATCCAATTTGCGATAAAACACCCTACTGCTCCACTTGTGCGACAGCAAATTGCCATACATAAGCCAGTGCACATTCCTCCGGGACAAAAAGCATCGCAGCGAAAAAGAAGAATCTGCATTTTTCGCTCACACATAACTATCGATATTTATGTGTGTGTGTACAGCAGAAAACGTTCTCATGTGCAAGCCAACTGTTCCGGCTGCTCTGCTATGTGAAGGCGTATTCCTTTCTACCTCCGCCGAGTCCTTTCATCGCTAAAAACACATGCCACCCCCCGAGCTCATCGTCGCCAATCGATATTTTTTCGGGGCGTTTTAGCTACGTCTCAAGTCGAGAAACAGGTGCAATCAAATTTTCCCCCATCCAATCTTGGCAATTACCTATAATATTTGGTGTAATCATCCGGCTTGGGGACAGTCTTCAGCTGTAGCGGCCGGAATCGTGGGTGTCTGACGTGCCCACCACCCACCTCCTGCCGCTGTCTGACGGCTTCGGGCGAGATGGAAGAGCTTTGATTGTTGACGAATTTCACGTTGAACCAGAACGTTGGCCGATTGCCAACCGATAATGATAATGATGATGGTGCCCGGTTCACTGACCCAGCCTGACCACCCTGGGCCGATGGGTCATCCGGCTGGAGGGTGCTGCTGGCCAACAGTGAACCGAACGCCAGGAAGACCGATATCAGGAAAATCTGCAGCAAAAACAGGCCCCATAGGAACAGCTTGACATCTAACCGTTTGCTCGTTAGATACATTAATCTGCCGGCTGAATTGCTTTGATTTTACATTTCTGGATTAGCTTTTACAGGATAGGCAAAACAAAAAAAAAAACTTAGCGACACACTTCAGGTGACATTTTTTCTCTTCTTTTCGGATGCACTTCCCGAGCGATTAAATTTTGCGACCGTCCGAAACTGCGTGCTGCTCGTGAATGAATGAGTCATACGAAAGAATATGCGATGGCGACAGACAGCTCCTTTCTCTTTCGCTTCCTTTGACAATCATCTGTCAGAACATCTGTGTTATTTACTTGCGTGTGAGATCAAAACATAAACAGTTTTTTGATAGTGTGCGTGAGACATGTCTCCGGCGCCGATGTTGTTGCTGAACTCATGAGCCATAAAAATTCAAACCATGTGCTTCATTATAGCAAACCTTTCCGTTTTCTCTACCTTCCGCAGCTATCCGTCGCAGGTCTTCGTCGGGGACACCTTCAACTACCTGTCCGGGATGACTTTTGCCGTGGTTGGCATCCTGGGTCACTTCAGCAAGACGGTTCTCCTGTTCTTCATCCCGCAAATTATCAACTTCATCTACTCGGTACCGCAGTTGTTCCGTTTCATTCCATGTCCCCGGCATCGTCTTCCAAAGCACGACCCGAAAACCGACCTGCTCAACTATAGTAAGACCCAATTCCACGTCAAAGATCTGAACATCCTGGGCAAACTGTGCTACACCGTGTTCAAGCTCCTCCGACTGATTCGGTGCGAGGAGAGCAAGGACGGAACTGTGATTTGCAACAACTTTACGATCATCAATTTTGCCATTCTGTTGACCGGACCGATCAGGGAGGACCGACTGAATCGCTTGTTGATCATGTTTCAGCTGTTTTGTTCCTTGTTTGCATTCACCATTCGGTATCCGTTGGCGCACTATTTCTACGAATACTAGCGGACCGGATACTGGTGAAGGACTGATTTCCAGGGTAAAACTGTGAAAGCAGATGGAAAAACCAAAGGTACGAGTTTCATTGATTTATTGTAAGTATACTGTTGAGGAACTGTTTAGGACTAGAATTATCGTAGTTATTTGTGCCGAAAGTCATTGACATTTTTTAGCTGTTGTTTCACAGATGTTTCCAAACTACTTTTCAGATTCCGGTCGCCTGGTTCTGTTTAATGTTTGCATTATATAATAGCTTTGAAGCACAGAGAACAGACGTTGAGGCTCGAACTAAATTTCTATAAAAACACAGAAAACAGACGTTGAGGCTTAAACAAAATTTCGTTAAAAACTAGTGTAAAGATTCATATTTGATTTAAGCGCCACTAACGGCGACTTCCTCACTTGAAAAACCTCTTTGACAACCTGATGGCGCTGTCGTTGCACAATTTACACTGGACACTAAGTGCTGGTAGCGCCCAGTGGCAATCTTCGATACTAGCGCCAAGTTAGTCGAAAGTGGAAAATTTATAGAGGAAATCAGGAGATGCTAACGCTACGTAACGGTGACGTTTCCACTTATCTTTACACAAGTTTCTGGTGGAAGTTGGACGTCTGTTATCTGTGATATCAACTACCACCACCGACAAACCGACATGAATCATCATACAAATTAAATACAAAGAAATTTCTGATCAAAGCACAAAACTGACATCTGCCGCCGTGTTCGCGGAAAATATTTATCCTACACACTTAGAAATTATCGCCAACTTCGGTAATTTTTACCGAAATCCGAACAGCTGAACTTTTCAGTAAAATTTATCCAATTCAATTCAATTGCTTTTCAGCTACTTTGAAACTAAATCTTCACTAAAATGACAAGATATGATCATTTAAACAAGGTTGAACATGTTTTGATATTATTTTCAAATTCAATAGCCTTTAAAATGAAGGTCAACGTTTTACCGAACGTTCAGCTGTTCTGATTTCGGTAAAATTTACCGAAAACGGAAACAAAATCTTAGTGTGTATAGCCACAAACATGCGTATAAAATGTATGGTTCGTGTCTAACTATTTCGGACAAATTATTTTTTATCTAGATATAACATTTCTATGGTTTTGACAGATGGGATCGCTGCACATTTGAATCGGCTGTTATGGATTCTCGATCGAGAGTTAAGTTTCAGTTTCATGTCGGTTTGTCGGTGCTACCACTGCACTGCATTTGAGCGAAGGTGGAAGCAACGCATAGAAAAATGAGCAAATACACAAACCTTTCTTCTGAGGATGTAATCTTTGCTATCAAATTCTCTCGAAACGGCAGATGACGCGATTATACGGATTATACCTGTCTCATAGCGGTCGTACTAAAGCCCTACAGTAAAAGTGTGGACGTCTGTCAAAAGCTGTTCCAATCGAACCGTCAAAATGCACCGCTTTGCTCGATTGGAACAGCTTTTTTCAGTTTTGTGGTGACAGTCGTCCATACTTTAACTAGAGGGCTTTAGGTCGTACGAGAAAATGGAAGAGTTGCCAGTCTTCTTGATATGTTGTCTTCGCTTGAAGACTATTATTGCTGATTGCATCTGAAACTGAACTGCCCAAAAAGGCAAAAAGTGTGATAAAAGTGCACGGTTCCATCAAATCTGTCTTCTCGGAGCACTTATTACTTGCATCATAAAGAATAAGTGCACCACCTCTGCTTGAACGTCAAGCAATACAGTTCGGTCTTTGCTCGCTCTGTCGAGTTGTTCTAAAGTTTCTAGTTTGTTCCAAACATTCGCAGTTTAATCGCGTCGTCAGTAGTGTCGGTCGCTTCGTGTGATGGGAAGACAGCGCTCCCGGAGCAGGCTCCGAGAGAAAACGGAGAAGAAAAACAGCGGTGAGGGTAGCTTGAGTGTACCTATTTCGAATAGGTACGCTACTCTTCCCACCGATGTAGGGAATCCCCCCTCAGCCACGGTGAAGCGGTCTAAGAAGAGGAAGAAAAATCAAGGCCAGTCCGATGGTGCGAGTGGACGGGACGATGCCACCGCGACGAACGTCAGCGTCATTGGTGATTTCGGCGACGCCGTCGACAACGAAACTGCTGCCAGCCCGAGTGCAGCAAAAATGAAGCTTCCTCCACTGGTGGTGAAGCAAGTCCCACTCAACACGCTGATTGGCGATCTTTCATCGCTGGGCGTTGCAGCTGAGTTTAAGCTCGGCAGGATCGGCACCAAGGTGATGCTCCGAACCAAAGCGGAGTACGAAGTGGCCGTGAAATATCTGAAGGATACCAAGGCGGAATTCTTCACGCACGACATCCCCGGTGAGAAGCCCTTCAAGGTAGTCATCAGGGGTCTACCAAACTTCGACCCCAAGATGGTCGAAGCCGAAATCAACCGGTACAAGCTAGCCCCAATCGCTGTCTTCCGAATGACAAGGAGAGATGAAAACGTGAAGACGTACCCGGATTGTCTTTTCCTGGTGCACTTCCAGAAAGGGACGGTGACGCTCAATGCGCTACAAGCCATCCGATCGATCTACTCCATCATCGTACGGTGGGAGCCATACCGTGGCGGTCATCGTGACGTAACGCAGTGTCAGAGGTGCCTCAATTTTGGACACGGTACCCGCAACTGCAACATCAAGCCACGCTGCAGCAACTGCGCTCAAGAACACGCCACTTCCAACTGTCCTGCGGATGGAGCCGTGGCGATAAAATGCGCTAACTGTGGTGGTGCACATCAAGGCTCTGACAGACAGTGCTCCAAACGCGAGGACTTCAAACGCATCCGAAAGCTGGCGTCAAGCAACAATCAACCAGGACGCAAGAAGGACAAAACCCCATCATTCAGGACGGAGGATTTTCCGCCTCTTCGTGCTCCCCAGCAAAGGCAAGCGAATTCGCGGGTGCAACCCGCCCCCCCTCAAGAAGTTTCCGGTGATTCTGCTGGTCAAAGCTCTCCATCCCCCCCTGGATTCTGGAGACAACCAACAGCGCAAAACAACAACCCCGATCTGTTCTCAGCGGATGAACTGATGGAAATTTTCGTCAACATGTCCGGTGCTCTTCGTAAGTGCCGCAATAAGCCCGAACAGATCCAAGTGCTCGGTAAGTTCATTATCCAGTATGGCGTCTAAACCGCTAACTATCGTCACCTGGAATGCTTGCTCTGTAAGAGCAAAAAAGATTGAGCTTGCCGACTTCCTCCGCAAGCACAGCATCGACGTGGGCCTTCTAACCGAGACCCATCTAAAGTCCGGCGACAGCTTCTGGTTGCCTGACCACAACACTATCCGGCTTGATCGCACCAGCTCCAGGGGGGGTGGTGTTGCGGTCGTCGTCAAGAAAGGAATAAAATACCACACTCTGTCCCATATCCGCACCTCTATCATCGAGGCCCTTGGTGTGGAGGTGGAGTCGTCGACTGGATACGTCCAGTTCATCGCCGTCTACTGCCCTCGACAGTGTGCCGCCAGCAGTGGACTAGCGGCTAAATTCAAGAAGGACCTGTCCACCATCACCCGTACCGGTTCCCGCTTCGTAGTTGGAGGAGATCTGAATGCTCGCCATGAGGCCTGGCGGAACTACCAGCAGAACCAGAACGGTCGTCTCCTGTTCGACCACTCACAGCATGGGCTGTATTCCGTTTGGTTTTCGGATGAACCAACATTCATCTCACCGGCGGGCAACCCATCGACGCTAGACCTGTTCCTGACAAATATCGGCTTGTCCAAGCCGGTAGCCTTGAACGAACTCAGCTCCGACCACCAACCGGTGGTGACTGAACTGGGCTGCAACGTGGCTCCTGCTTCAAGCCTGCGCAAGGACTACCATCGCGTTAACTGAGCCCAGTTTGGACGCGTGGTAGACAGGCACATCATCGACAACCCGCCGCTTGACACCGTGGAGGACATCGACCGAGCGTTGGAGGGACTCCACCAAGCCATAACCGTGGCTGACGAGGCGTGCGTCCGACGAGTTCCTGTGAGGGGTAAGTTTATTGCCATTGATTCCCACACCCAACTTTTGATTCGCCTGAGAAATGTTCGTAGACGCCAGTTTCAGAGGACTGGAGATCTGGGCAAAAAACGTGAAATGGCTGATCTGAACAGACAGATTGCTTCCAGAATGGACTCACTCCGAAATGAAAGTTTCGGGCGTGTTGTCCAGAATCTGGACGACCGCTCCAGACCATTCTGGAAGGTAGCCAAGGTCCTGAAAACTCATCCCAAACCCATTCCACCTCTCAGAGTCGAAAATGATGACGATCGGCTTTTAATCACCCCACAGGAGAAAGCAAATGCGATCGGCGAGCATGTCGCTTCATCGCATTTGCTTGGCTCAAATATCCAAAGTCCGCTCGAAGATCAGGTTGCGCAATGCGTTCAAAACCTAGATGCCTCCCCTTGTGTCGTGCCTCCGGCGGATATGATTACAGTACAACAAATTTGCTCAGCGCTGAAATGCACCAAGAACATGAAGGCTCCCGGGTTTGACGGTATATTCAACTTGATCTTGAAGAGACTCAGCATGAAAGTGCAGTCTCTTCTAACCGCTATCTTCAACAGATGTTTGGAACTGCACTACTTTCCAAGTATCTGGAAAGTAGCAAAAATCATACCAATCCGCAAACCCGGTAAGGATCCAACATTGCCTTCAAGCTACAGACCAATCAGCCTCCTTTCAGCGCTGAGCAAATTGTTCGAGAAACTCATTCTCAATCGTTTGCTCAAGTTTGTCGAGGAAAATAACATTCTCCTTCCGGAACAGTTTGGATTCAGAAAGGGGCACTCTACCAATCACCAGCTAGTACGGGTGATGAATAACATCCGAAGTAACAAAGCTGTATCCAAGTCCACAGCCATGGCCTTGTTAGACGTTGAAAAGGCGTTTGACAATGTTTGGCATGACGGACTTGTGTACAAGCTTTGTAACTTTAACTTCCCATTACATCTGGTTAAAATCACCCGTAACTACCTTCAGCAAAGGTCGTTTAAGGTATCGTTGAATGGTTGTCTTTCCGACACGTTTTCCATCCCAGCAGGAGTGCCGCAAGGCAGTCTGCTGGGCCCCTTGCTTTACAGCATTTATACTTCCGACATTCCTCCCCTTGGAGACGGTTGCGTGTTCTTCCTGTTCGCAGATGATACCGCAATAGCCGTCAAAGGAAGGATGCCTCGCGAAATAACGAACAAACTTCAACGATGCCTTAACGCCTTTGCTGATTATGCCACCACGTGGAAAATTAAAATCAATCCCTCCAAAACACAAGCGATCATGTTCCTACATCGGCAATCGCCCAAACTGAAACCGGCTCCATCTTGTACTGTAATCATGGATGGCACAAGGGTTGAGTGGTCCACCGAAGTAACCTATCTCGGGATGTTGATCGATGAAAAGCTCCTCTTCCGTTCGCATGTAGAGAAAACTGTAGTCAAGTGTTCTACCTTGGTTAGGTGTCTGTATCCGCTGATTTGCCGCAGATCCCGCCTCTCAAGGGTGAACAAACTGGCCGTCTACAAACAAATCGTAGCACCTGCGATCCTCTACGCAGCTCCGGTGTGGGAATCATGTGCACAGACTCACAGGAACAAAATTCAGGTCGCTCAGAATAGAGTGCTGAGGATGGTTCTTGATCGTCCTTTCGACACTAGAATAACAAATTTACATGAAGAGCAGGCATTGCCAAAATAGATTCCAAAATTAACGAAATTAAGACTAAATTTGCACAAAAATGTAATTTATCAGAACATGCTTTGATAAGCAATTTGTATATAGTAGGTTAGGTGTATATAGTAGTTGTAGGTTAGTTGTAGTTGTAAATAGTAGTTATAAGTAGACTCCTTTTTCCAATTCAAATCATACCAATCCCACCAAGGTGGTCATACTTTAAAATAGGCCTGATAGGACTAGAAACTGTAAATAATAATTAAAATCTCACTATACTAAAGTTGAAAAGACGCATCTGTGTCACTTGAAAAATTCATACATGTAAACCACACAAACACAAGAAATAAAGATCATTTAACTGTCAAAAAAAAAAAAAATAAGTGCACCAAAGACACCAAGACGATTAGACGAAAACGTGTATCACACTCATTATCATACTTATAAAAGTTTGGTGTGAAATGAGCAATATAATGCAAACATTCAACAGAACAAAAAAAAAATAAACTATTATGAAGAAATTTTTAAAACGCATTAAAATGTTGTTCAATACGGATTACTCCAGACAATTCATAACTGAAGCAGATGTATCTCAACGATCTCAGTCCGTAAAAAGCCTTCATTCAAGCAACAATCTTTAGCAGGTTTTGGTCCCAGTTGCATTATCAGAAGAACGGATGGGTTTGCTTCCTCTGCATCAAATCTGGCCACTTCAATGAATGAAAAGCAGAACGGTAAGAATACTCCGGAGGCATGCAAGCAGAAACTTGCAAACCAGGTCAAGGAGGAGAAACCGAAAATTTTACTCAGTCTAGGAGTAGTACCAATAGACTGAGTGAATCCACCTGGACAAACCTGGAAAAACATGAGGCAAATTTACTCATCGCTGAGTTCCTACAATTTATGTGCTTAATGAGTAAACCAAACTCAAATTCCGAAATTGCTGAAAACGATTCAGCCGTGTGCTAAAGAAGTTCCATCAGGAGAGTGGAATGCTTCCGCAAGATTATTTAGGACGCAAACTCCAGCGACTAATAAAGCAAACATTTCTAAACACTTCGATTTATTAGAATATTTCAACCACCTCCTCATCGTCGTCCACCTCGTCCGAAGGCAGGCCCCACAATTCAACCTGCCGTCTTTTCGCAAACATAATATCACTCCCGGTGGGGTGCGGCGCCATCGAGTGAACCACGCCGGACTCCATCGGCAATCGCCGGACTTCGCTGCCTTCCAGCAAATCCCAAATAACAGCACATCCTGCCGCCGATCCGGAAATGATCTGCGAATCACTCCCGATCACACCACACTCGATGTGATAGTCTTCCGTTCTGTGACCTTTGTACTCGGACAGCAGTTCCCCCGTATCGGTATCGATCAATCGAATGGTACTGTCCAGGCACGCTGCCAGCAAGCATTGTCCATCGCTGGTTTGCACAATGTGCGTTATGGGAACTCCTATCGTGTCGGACGTCAATTCACCCGCCCTAAGATCATACTGCCGAATGGATCCATCCAACGATCCGGCAATGATCTTATGCTCCGTCACCACCAACGAGCTGATGCAATCCTTTGCCTCGCGCATGGTCTGCACCGGATCCAACTTCCGCGTCCGTATGTCCCAACACATGACCGTGTTGTCCGTAGAACCGGAAACCGCCACCGATGAATCCTCATTGAACTTGACGCACTTCACCGTACCAGCATGGCCACGCAATCGCCGGACCGGCAGTCCCGTTGTTACGTCCCAATAGATGACGCTTTTGTCCGCCGATACGGATACTATGAAACCGCTGTCGCAGCTACCGGCCGCATCCATTACCTCACCGGCGTGGCCACCGTAGGTTTTCAGCAGCAAACCGGAATGGGGATTCCATAGTTTTATCTTTTTGTCTGAACCGCAGGACAAACAGTACGAACCGTCCACTGAAAGAAGGTGTCGATTATGCGTGGTTTTTTTTAGATACGGATAGCTACATACCGTTGTAACGAACAGCCCGCACAGCTCCTTGGTCACAATTTATAGTTTTCTTGCGAACCAGTTCCATAAAACTGTTGAATACAAATTAAAACTGCTGAGTAATGAAAAATTTTCCATAGCAAACGCCGGTTTTAATTAAAAAAAACTGATCATTATGTTGTTTACTAACAACATATTTTTTATCGTGTCGATAAGGTTGACGACCGAACTGTCAACAAAAAATGAACGTTTGCAACAGGGTTGTCGAAACCCGGTAATTTGTTTCGAGCATGCCGAGGGGTTTCTACACTGAACCAAAACATCCACCGATCGTTGAATGAAATCTCATTCAGCGTCAAGCATAACTAATGATTCCTGAGATTGAATGAAAAACACGTCGAATGATTTTATGATCAACAATTAGTGGTTTTTGTTTACTTTTCAAACGTTTTTCTTCTTCTTGTCGTCCGATAATCAGTTACATATTAATAGGCACAAAAAAATTTGTTTTTTTCATTGTGAACCAAAATGAATATATATCATCATAGCCCCTTTATGAAAATCATTCTATTTCAGGTTTGCCATCATCTTTTGGCTATTCTCTATCAGTTAGCAAATGGCGGCGAAGACCGTGACTGCGCGAGTTTGTTTTCATTTGTGAAAAAAGTGAAATTTAGTGTTTGACTAAATACAATAAAATGAATAGTAAATGGCTCAAGTTTGTTCGGGAAAAAGTGATATTTTGTACCCTCGGTACCTCTATCGTTCTTTTTTTACGGGATGACATCCGTTGACGAGAAAACATTTAATTATTTTAAGATTTAATTAAGATACATTCTTTAGGAATAAAGTTATGTCAATAGAAATAATTGTCTAATTGTTTATTTAAATATTCTAGAAAAATATAGTTAGACGACCATTTCATATGAGATGACTCATGTAGTCTTCTTATTTTTACACAGTAATGATAATAACTGATTGAAATGGTTGTGTAATTATTTTTTTCAAGAATATTTCTGATAACTACATAGATATGGACATCATTTGAATTCTATCTCATTTTCTTTCATTACAAGACTGATGAGTTGAAAAGTTTTTGTATGCAAATCATTCACACAGTGTTCTGTTTTGATTATTGTATATATGATTATAAAGCTAATTTTAAATTATATTCATACATTTTGCCTTGATTCTGTCGAAAGATGAATTGAATGACGATCTTCTTAAAATCATCTGATAATAAGCATGGGGCTTGGGTGAGGCAAAAATCATTCAGTAAACGGCGGGTGTTTTCGTTCAGTGTACCAAGCTTGTAGGTTGATCGGTAATCGAAAATTACCACAAATTATTAAAATAATTACAGTAATTTCAATGTAATATAAATAATTGGGTTCTTTAAGGGTATTGAGGTAAATGCATATTCGTAATCTGCATTAAAAATGGAACCCACACCCAAAATTTAATCAATTTTGGTACACTGGAACTATTTTAAATAAGTACGATTACATTTGCAAAAATCACCTTATTAGCGCCCCTTGGTGTCGCTTTGTATGGAAGTGAGCTGTCAGTTTGTCAGTTTAGTGTCAAACAGTGAAGTAATTATTTTGCTTTAAATCTTGATTTAAAAATCGAGATGAAAGTGCGTGGGTTTGAAAAAAATATCGCTGTGCTCAGAAAACGAAGGTTTTTCAGATGATATATAAAAACCGATATATTTTTCAAAATTAAAGAACCCAATTGTGGGTAATTGATGGGTAATTTCAATAATTCCTACTGCTTGGAAAATAATTCGGTAGCTTTAAAGATAACTAAAAAGTAATTGGGTTCTTTAATTTTGAAAAATATTATCGGTTTTTATTCCCAGACGAAAACAGCTGACAGCGGTATCTTGACCTGACCGAAGTTTCCGGTGGTGAGGGTGGCAGTCCTTGGTGGTGAATGCAGTCAGCAGCAGATCCTCGGACGGCATACAGGAGGGGTATTGAAGAAGTGGAGAATGCGATTTTTGCTGGACTGGGAAGTAATTGTCCGGCAGGGTGTACGTTCGTCTGCGATGGCGTCTCCCATCTAGACCATGGCGGTTCCCTCTTTGGTCTTCAGGAACTTTATTCTGACTTTTCCATACAGGCAGAACAAATTGAACAGCTTATCGGTGTTGGCTGTGTTGTTATCGAGTCCGTAGACCATCATCACTGCGCCCTGTTGCTGTGCCGGTTGAATGAAGTTGGCTGGTCCGTTTCGGGTCAGCAGTGCGTCCTTCATCAGTCCGACATGTGTTCCGGCCGATGTTGGTCTCCAGTTTTCCGATGGATGATATTCGGGCGGTGACAAATTCGGTGCAAATCCGTTTCCTCCGCCGGCTCCCAGAAGGGCTGGTTGACTAATTATTGACGTTCGTTGTGCGGGGTCGGCCTTTCGCCGAAGATGCATGTTTTTGAAAACATTGAAAATAAAAACAAAAACAAAGCAAAACCCGCAAGTGCGAATGTTCCCGCTGAAATCGGAAAGTTCCTCCTCCGGATTGGTCGAGTTCCCGAGCGTAGCCCTGGCGGTGAACGTCATCATGAAGTGCAACCACAGCGCGATAGATCACAAATGCACAAAATTTCCGTTTATTATGAAGCTGTGCTTCTCCTCCTCCAAGAAGATGACCGGTGCGTGGAGCAACGAGAACATCGAAAACACGTTAGCTTTCTTTTTCTGAGAAAAGAAAGGATTTTTCTTTTTTCTGTGTAGTTAATGTTATGATTCGTAATTATAATTTCTTATTGTCTTAGTTGGAAGTGCAAAAAGGCAGGAGAGTACAAATAATTTGTTGAACTATTTGAGATTTTGCCAAGATGGTCCTCCAACATTATATGTTGGACGATGGAACGGTTGGTGTAGCAGTAACCGCCATGGATGTATTCGAGCTGTTCGAATGGTATAGTTTTTGTTTGGTTGTTGACTTTCCGATTAAAACTCAAGCACTGCTTGTCGTGACTGGCCCGAGATTTCCAGTGACGGCCACGGCTACACGAATTAGTGATGCAGCTCCCACGGCTGCAGCTGCTTCCAATGCTGTCGCTGCTGCTGTTCCTTCTGCTGGTCCGTCTCCTCTAAAATTCATAAAAAAAGACGGACCAGCAGCAGCATTGGAAGCAGCCGCAGCCGTGGGAGCTGCATCGCTAGTTCTTGTAGCCATGGCCGGAAACCTCGGTCAGGTCAAGATACCACTGTCAGCTGTTCTTCGTCTTGAAATTGTCGTTGATCAAAACAAATTTGCAAAAATACTTATGACAAATCCGTTTCGATCCAAATAGGGAATAGGAGTGAAAATTATAATGAAACTTGTTCAGAAAAAGTGTGTTTGCTCACATACTCACCCCTATTCTGTATTTCGTTCGAAACGAAATTCCTATACAAAAAAAAATCTTTTTGTATGAGAATTTCGTTTCAAGTAGCTATCTCAAATATAGCTACTTAAATAAGAGAGACGGGTACTTCAGGTTGAGAATCGGTGCAGCTGGAAAGCAGACTTTTTTTTAAATTGTCTTTTATGTCAGAAGAAAAGACACATTCTCATAAACGAAATACCATAATTGACCTTTCCTCAAGGGGTTGGTCACTCTACACAGTGTGCCAAAACAAACTTGGGCACACCCGGGTGCAGTCATTGGTGCTATTTGGCACCCATGGTTACAATTATTATGATCTTTAAAGTTACTGGCAACACTGAACTTTTTCTGCACCTGCACAGTTTGCATGTGTCAAAATTTGTTATTGATGTTGCCACAATATAATCAAATTATTTTCAAAACACAACCGTGAATCTCAACCAAGTCCCGCCATGGATTCTCACCATCGTTACACCCGTAACGGCAGTCGCGTCCACATTTCCTCCCAGACGAAGAACAGCTGACAGCGGTATCTTGACCTGACCAAGGTTTCCAGCCATGGCTATACGAACAAGCGATGCAGGTCCCACGGCTGCGTCCAATGCTACTGCTGGTCCGTCTTTTATGACGAATTTTAGAGGAGACGGACCAGCAGAAGGAACAGCAGCAGCAGCAGCAGCATTTGAAGCAGCCACAGCCATGGGAGCTGCATCGCTAATTCGTGTAGCCTTGGCAGACGCTGGAAATCTTGGGCCGGTCACGACAAACGGTGCTATACCATCCGACCATTCGAACTGCTCGAATACATCCATGGCGGTGGCTGCTACACCAACCATTCCATCGTCCAACATATAATGTCGGAGGACCGTCTTGGCAAAATCTCAAATAGTTCATCAAATTATTTTTACTCTCCTGCCTTTTTGCTCAAGTGCTGGATGCTGCGTTTGACTGGTTCGGCTGCGATGGCGTCTCCCATCTGGACCATGGTGGTACCGAGTCCGTAGACCATCATCACTGCGCCCTGTTGCTGTGCCGGTTGAATGAAGTTGGCTGGTCCGTTTCGGGTAATCGGGTCGGGCCCTTCATCAGTCCGACGTGTGGTCCGGCCGGTGTTGGTTTCCAGTTTTCCGATTTTCCGTTTCCTTATCCGGCTCCCAGAAGCGCTGGTTGAATAATGATTGACGTTCGTTGTGCACAAAATTCAACCTAACACATAAAATCCCTGACAACATTGAGTAAACAAACAACAGAAATTTGTCTAGCAACCAGGGAAAAAATCTAGTAACAAGTATTTCTTAAGTATTTATATGTAGTTATAGGTATCTACACAGAAAAAAAAGTTGTTGAATATTACATCGAAACTGCTGCAACCAGGTCAATCCATCGGTTGTGTAATATCACATTGTACGATGTACATCGATTTTGCGAACAAAATTACATCCATTGATGTAATATTCTATTTGCTTTTTGCTATTACATCATTATTTCATACTTCAGCTTGAATTACGATTTTTTTTTGCTGTGTAAGATATCAGTTAGAACTTTATGAGTACATCATGAGAAATACAAAGCTTAGAGTGGGATGCCCATAGAGTTGGGCTTTTCCTGGCGAAGTTTCCCGGGCCAAAAATCGAGCACCATCCGTTTGCACCTTAAAGTGCTCGACAGAGCTAATTTGTCTCCGCACCCACCCCTGCCGGCTTTATCGTTTTGCAAAATGCGCAAAAAGCAAACAGAAAAAAAGCCAGCAAAGCCGACGCGGAGAAAAAGAAAACAAAGGTGAATCACAAGAAACGTCAAATGAAGAAAATTTTGCGGCGACGTAAGTGAAAAAGTGGCAAATTTTGTTGAATTTTGACCGAAAAATTGCACAATTGCATCGCTAGCCGGTACCGCTCGGTCGTCGGAGTCGTTGCAGGGTTTGACCCGTGCCCGAAGAAACCGCACCGCGATGACGGAATTTTGCGACGATGTAATCAAGCTGTTCCCGCTGCGAACGATTCCGGATGTTATGAAGCTGTTCCGGCAACAGCTGAACAATCGCGTTGAGGAGCCGGATCTGACACTGCTGTCGATCGTGACCGGGCTGATTGAGCACTCACTGACGACCAAGGTGCTGGAGTCGTCGGTTCCGGGCGCGACCGGAGTCCAGCAGCCGCACATTGAGGTAATCAGCAACTTCCCGGTTATTCGGTACGATGTGGTTGAGGCCCTGTACAAGAAGTTCAAGAACGTGCTGGCCCCGATCGAAAAGCTGCTGGTAAAGAATACGATGGATTCGAAGTTTGCCAGCCGGGAGATTATCAAGAAGGTGTCGGATATTATTTGGAACTCGCTGATGCGGAGTTCGTACAAGGACCGGGCACACCTGCAGAGTTTGTACAGTTATCTCTGTGGAAGTAAGTTGGATTGTTTTGGAGTAGCGTTTGCGGTGGTGGCCGGTTGCCAGATGTTAGGCTATAGGGATGTGCATTTGGCCATTTCGGAAGATCACGTTTGGGTGGTTTTCGGGAAGACGGGTGAGGAAACGATTGAGGTGACTTGGCACGGCAAGGGGGCGGAGGATAAGAGAGGTCAGTCGGTGGCACCGGGAGTGGAGTCGCAGACGTGGTTGTACGTGGCCGGGAATCCGGTGGTTTGCAGCCGGTACATGGAAGTGGCAGCCATAGTGTCGGCTATTAATCCTTCGTTGACGGCGACGAGTGCCTGCTTGGAGGTAGCCGATCTGCAGCAGCAGTTGTTGTGGCAGTTGTACGAGATGGGTCATCTGAAGAAGTACCCAATGGCATTGGGGTGCCTGGGTGAGCTGGAGGAAGTTTCTCCGACCCCGGGCAGGAAGAGCTGCGAGGAGTTGTACAATGAGTCGGTTCGATCGGCACAAGTGTACTACAAGAATCATCATGTCTATCCGTACACGTACCAGGGCGGTTTCTACTACAGGAGAAACCGGTATCGGGAGGCGTTTGCGTCGTGGGCCGATAGCAGCGATGTCATCAGGCTGTGAGTTTTAATTTTGATTTTGAGGGAACGTTGCGTGAGGTTTTGAAATGGTTTTTATTTTGCAGTTACAACTACTCCCGTGACGATGAGGAAATCTACAAGGAGTTTCTGGATATTGCCAACGAGTTGATCCCGCAGGTGATGAAGCTGGAAAGTTCGGGACATTCGGCGCGGAGCATCCTTCGGGATTCGCACTGCTTTGCCAATTTGCTCCGGTTCTACGACGGGATCTGTATGTGGGAGGAGGGCAGTTTGACTCCGATTCTGCACATTGGCTGGGCCAAACCGTTGGTGGCCACGATTGCCAAATTCGATCACGACATCCGCTCGCAGGTAATCATCAAGTGCAGCGATGATTCACCCCGGGCATTCCACCTCAATGGGCATCACCACGTGGCAGACGGGGACAAGGCAAAGGTGGTGAATAACAATAATAATAATAACAACATCATCAACAAGGCGGATGCCAATTTGGAGAATGGGAAACCGGATGAAAAGACGAGTCTACCGAAATCGCTGGAGGCTCTGGTTGGTAAGTGCGGTGAGAAGCTTCTGAATCCGGACTTTTTACTTCAGGGAGGTGGCCAGCCGTTTACATCGGAAGACAGCGAGATGGCGTCCGGAGGTGGTCAGAGCAATGGCTCGACCAAGAATGGGAAGAAGGAGAAATCCTCCGATGGGAAGAAAGAGATACCCATCAAGAAGGAGATCGTGAAAATCGAACCGAAGAAAGAATCCCTCGAGCTGGTGGACTCGGAAGACGGCGGTCCCAAGAGGCCCTTGATCGCTCTGTACAGTCAGAAGATGAAGGGCCTCAAGGATCTGCTGCTGGCAGAGAAGCTCAACACGAATGCCATCTCGCTGCAGATTACGGCTCAAAGCCAGGTGCAGGTAGGTGGTAAAAAGTCCCGCTCCCAAACGGGAACGCAATCGTCGGGTGGAGTGCACCCGGAGAACGAGGCCAACACTCGTTCCAAGCGCGCTCGGAGGGAGTAAATGCCTTCCGCCTCAGTCGGAAACGGAAACATTCCCTGATTCCCCTAAACTTTTAAGCTGGATCTATTTGTGATTATTTTATATTTTTTTTAAACCTCGTACCTACCTATCCGGTATTCTTCTACAATGTTCTTGTGTGCCACTTGAAAAGAGGCATTCTACTATTCCATTAAGGTTGAGATTTTGCACACGCTTTCTCCTCCATTAGAGGACATACTATTCTAGAGCGCGAGCATTGTGATGCCATTTTGTTTTAGGAAAGCAAAATTATTTATATTTTTTAAATTGTTAATTTATTCTGTTTTAAAACTCTTTCCTATTGTGGTTCTATTTATTATTATTAATGAAAACGGAAGCGGTTCGTTGTTAATTGGCGGTGGTTCGCCTTCTGAAGGCCCAAACCCTCGCCCGCCAAACCTTCAATATTCATTGAGCTATGTCAAATTCGTCGATTCGTTCGACTCGCTTTCGCAGATCTAATCTAGTCTCTTTGATAAAGGTCAGTCTTCTTAACAAAACTTAAAAAAAAAGTATATCGTCTATTTTCCCTACTATTAATGCTTAACAAAAAATAAGTGAGAGAAGAATATGAGATCAAGAATCGTGAAATTTGAATGAATGAGGACACTTTTCCACCCTTTGAATGAGCGCTGAGAGCTGAGAGAAGATGAGTTGGGAGTATACGAAGTGAATGTGGACCTTGAACGAACTTGAAAAAACGCAAATCACTAATCTTAGAAAACAAAAAAATTAAATCATAACAGAAGTGAACCTCAATCATGGAACAATCGGAAATTGAAAGTACAAAAAAAAAATGCTAAATTTTTCTCCAACTAACACTCTTTTCGATGGTTTCCCTACTTGTTAGAATAAAATTCAAAATTTAATCGAATCAGGAAAGGATAACGTTTACATAAATACCTAGAAGAAAGAAACATTGATCGCAGATAAAAATTGGGTACCTTGACATTGGATAGTAAACACGATGATTCAAATAGACATACACTCATCAGTATTTGATTTTGCGTTTGCCCGCGGATTGGAAAAGGACAGGAAATTGGAAAAGTCGCGCGTGAGATGATTGAGGAGAGGCTTATTAAAAATACCGAAAGAACAAAAACAAAAATTGTTAAATTGAAATGAGTAATGGACTCTGTTATGGTGGTGAAATGAGTAATAGGACGAAATGGAAACGTTTGGAAGCTACTTGAAAGCGTGAGAGAAAGGAATATTAAACACACAATTACTACTGGTGTATGAATAATCAAAATGAATGTTTTGTTTTCGATGTTTGTTAAAGTGGAACACTTATATTGAATCGATTCTTTGATAACTGAAATCTAAGCACAGTCTGGTTCGGGTCAGAGCCGGGCGTTGTATGTAAAAAAAAACAGATGAAAGAGATCATCAGTAATAGATGATTAGAATTAGGAACTATTATTCGTTTTATCTAGATTAGTTTTGCGATACGTCGATTGCACTGTTGTTACTTCACTGGTTGTTGGTTGTGTACCTAATTGATCTGTAGAACCGAGATAGAACTTCTACCTATCTCACACAGGCCTTGTTGTTGTTGACATTTTCAGGTTTGATGTTTTCGGTAATCTAAACAGGAGTTAGAAAAGTATTTACATGTAGGGTCTGGCAAGAGTGCCAATTCCCAAGTAACAGTTTACGGTTTATGAAGTACTACAAGGCTACTATAAAACAACATTCATAAAACTCCGGTCAAGACAGCTTTGCCTTTATTACATCCACCAAAACCTCCTTAAGACTAGAATCGGTCTAGTTGGCCCACACCGAAGAAGGTTTTGCAGGGCATATTTTCGAGGCACTTCAAGATTGATTTGCTGCAAAAAGGTTAAACGACGAAAGCATTTAGAACCATTTGGAATCCTTATTCAAACTACAATAAAAGCCATTTGGCAATATGTTCACATGTTTTGTCAGATACGCTGTTGCAAAACGACCTCTGCAGGGACAAAAGCATTGGTCGTACCGGCTAGAGTATGAATGACTACCACAACAAAACATACGATAACATAGTGCAAGCTTTATTTCCCTCCCATGTTAGGTACACCTAACTCCTGAGCTCCTGTTCTTCAGAATCGCCTAGCTAGTTCTTTTTTCTTCTTCTTCAATGCTTCATCTCTTCACTGGTGTACTCACTGCTACCGGAACATCCGCACATCCTCTCGTTCACAGCTCATCACCGTCGATCTTCGGACTGTGCCGACGTGGAGGCACCGTGCATGCTCCACCGCGACCGGCTTCGAGGGCCTGATGACGGTTGGCGTCCACCTCAAAACGATCGGGTTCAAATCGTCACCCGCTTACTGGCGATGTAGGTCCGCTTTCAGTTCGCACACCTTGCACGACAACGTATCGGCACGTACGGTCCAAGCCGAGTTCATTTGACGGTGCAGCGCCGACCACGGGGGCGACTCAATTTCGGACCGAGTTCACTCAGCGTTGCCGCTGTACCCTGAGCTGGTCAAACTATTATGTCGCTGATTCTTTCGTCGATTCGAGCTGGAAAACAAAAAGCCCTGAGGCAACAACTCGTTAGCCTCCACCTGTCGGCAGTGTACGCAGTGGGCAACTTACTTCGCATTGAAGGCTTTTATCTTTTGTCTTCCGAGGCTGGCCGTATCCAGCCGCCGTGGCCCACTCGATCGACTGTATGTAGGAGCAGATGCTGGAGGAAGGAAAACGTGTCAGCAATGCCATAACAGTCATGAACATGGAAGTGGCTTACCGCTTTTAGTATCGAATCACGACTTTTCTTCTCCGTCCGACTTGTGGCCGCAGTGAATATCGAGTCCCGAATCCAGCAGTGGTTCACGTGTCCCAAGTTGCCTCACGTGTCTGATGTGCACGATGAATCCCGCAGACTGATGTACAAGATGGCGTCCGAGGTCATAGCGTGAGCGCTCGTCTGTGAATATAATTCACGATAATAGCGGTAATCTTTCCGTGAGGCGACGTACTCGACTTACCGTTTCTCGGCGGTTCTGGTCGATGCCGATGTTGTTGCCACCAGCTGCCTACTTCCCCAAGGCAATCGTGTCGGAATCGAACGTCGCTTCAACCTGCCGACAATGGACTGTCGCTGATACTGCGCGCACCCGTCAAAAGAATCCACTCGCGACGACGGCAAATATGGGCAGTGACTGCAAATGACTTTTCGTGCCGTACTCGGCGCTCACAGTCTCCACAAACTGTCTCGATGGCCTCTTCGAAAAGCCGCAGTTGCTTTTGGAGCTATTGCGATCGAATCGCGAAAGTTTTCGCGATTTGCACTACCGCGTCGGCGATGGCCGCCCGAATCAGACCACGCTTTTGCACTTTCTGCTGCTTTGCTGCTGCTTGAGCGACGGGCTTCGTTGCGACGTCATCTGCAGTTGTGTTCGTGTGTTGTTGTCGGAAGTGCTATTATTCCATTCGCCCGTGCGGCGATATCCGTCAATTTGACTGGTGACGTTTGCCCACACTCAAAAAATTTCACACGTTTGATCGAAGTGTTTAAACACTTGATTTTCTAAATGCACAATCACATTTATTTTAAGTGTATTTCACCTTGGTTCAATGTGTTATACACGTTAATTTATAGTGTTTCCAACTTTGAAATATTGAAAATCTTTCACTATCTATTCAAGTGTATTGCACATTAAATCACGCTACTGTTCAAAACAGATGGATTTAAAGTGTTTTGCATTTCAATACGATGTGAATTGCTTGCTCAGAAAGGTAAACATCGATAACAAGAGTTGTGACTTTATCCTATCAACCTGCCTCATATATGAGAACAACCGTGGCACAGTGAGATCGAACGAAGACTTCGGCAGCAGCATACCCCAACAGTCCATGATCGAATCCCAAATCAGACCCATTAAAAATATATGTGAAAGCTCTGGCCTCTGGCAGTTTTGTTTATATATTTGTCGATTCATTTTTAGAGTCGGTAAAGTAGAATTCGATAAAGTAGAATATTGTAGAATATTGAACTATGGTGTGCAAAGCTATTGATATTACCATATATCACATAGAATCCAAGTGTGTCACAATTCAAATCCATAGTGTTCAGGCATGGTTCATAGCATAAGATTCACACATGAAATGGATGTGTTTCACTATATGCGCAAAATTAAGTGTGAGACACATGATGATGACGTGTGGAATTTTTTGAGTGCATGAAGCATAATTTTAATGTGCGCGATCAAGCGAAACTACTCTGATTCTGCTCAAAAAGCTTGCATCAAATAAAACGTAACAACGCGTATTTTGTCTACTACTTGCAGACTTCATCAGTGTCAAGTACTTGGTGTTGACGGCTCTGTTGAATATTCTCTGCAGTCCGCAAATCGCACCGTATGCCCCATAATTTGTGCGACGTAGAGACAGTTTTAGCATAAGGTTATTACGAAGCGGTCGGGGTTGAACATGCAGGTCAATTTGCCTCAGGATCAGAGGTGGCAACAGTACATTTTTTGAAAAACCATCGTCCAGAGCGAAACAAAACAGCCAGCACACGGGCGACCGTGTATAACTACATTCCAAGCGAACAGCGGAGATAGAGAATAAATAAAATCTCGCAGCCTGATTTTTCCAAACAGTTTATTGTAATGAAATTTTAGCTGCAGGCTTGCGTGTGACAGTAAATTACCAACTCCCTTATTTACGCATAATTTTAACATCAATGCTTATGAGTGGTTAGTCTTCATTCTTATCTTTTAATTCCATGCAATAAACATCAAATAAATGCAGTAATTAGCCAGAAATCAGCGAAATTCTACACGACATAAATTTATGTCGCGCGCGCCGCCGGTCTTGTCTGCTTCTTTGTGCGAAAATGTTCTGTCGCTGGTAGAAAACAGTTTAGAAATGTCATGACATTTTTGCCGCTTGCCAGTTTGTTTTTGTGTGTCGTCACAATGGTTATCGCAAAATGTATCAAATGTTATGGAAAAAATGTTAAACTCCAGGACTCGTGCCACCACTGCTCAGGATAGCCTCACAATCCGCAATCAATCTGTCCTTCCTTGCAGGATATTGGCCACGGTTAGGGCTCTGCTTGTGTCTCTTCTAGTCCGGAGAAGTTCTTGGTCGATAAGTTGACAACGGCTTTCGTAACTGGGTAATCGAAACGGATCATTCCAAGGCAATCTACGCAACGAAAAACGAAGAAAGCGACGTTGAACAGATTCAATTCTCTCGGCACCGTTGTTGTAGTTTGGGTACCAAACTGTTGAACAATACTCAAGCGTCGATCGAACAAGCGAACAATAAAGAGATTTTAAACAGTGGATATCAGTGAAGTTTTTAGCTATCCTAAAAATGAACCCTAAAG